TTCTATAAGGATTGATAACATTTAATGAACTTGAGGAGTATGTTTACCCGTAGGAAAAAAAACTGTTTTAAGAAAAAATATATTATTTATTTCAGCAGATTGTAACGCTAGCTGTTCAGTCAATGAATGTTGAATGTTTCATTATAAGGAAACGTTTAAACTCACCACTGCAAATCCCTTTTTAGAACGTTGTTCTATAATAGAATGAAAAAATGGTAAATACAATAGATATATTCTGCGATGAATATTTCTAATGAAACCTGATCATTTGTAATCAAAGTCTTTGCAATTTTCAAAGTAAGAAATACAGATTGTTTAATTAAAGTTACTTAAACGATTTTTTAGGTAGAACGTTGTCATAGTCTGATTTTAATAGCTAGATTCACCCTATCGACAGGATTATTTCGTTTTATAGTTCAAGATAACAAATGTGAAAGCCAATGGATAGGATAATAAAAGTTGAATAATATCAGATTTAAATCGAGTTCCAATATTTTCTGCTGCCTCTAAATTAAACGAAATAAATATAAGATAAATAATAGATATTAACTTTTATGATTTCACGTATAGGGATTTTTCTAAGTGTAGATCAGATGTGGCACAAAGCCGACTGTATAGAATACCGGTGAAGAAAAACTCATTAGAATTGATCTAGCGAAACAAACTTGCTAACAATTATACCACGTCTAGGCGCCTCTTTGGATTCATATACAAAACCGACATTTTTTTTTGGCTACATATGAAGTGAGTGCTGCAGATAATTTTTCGGTTCGATCCAGATCCGACTCCAGATCAATTGGTCAAAGAATTTGTTTTTAGAATCCCTTCATTACGAAGCTGAGAACGTTATATCCTTAAATTAAACGAATAGAAAGTCGAATATTTGCGCATTTATATCTAATCCACCAGCAGTATATCCTAAAAAAATTAGAATAAAATAAATTATAAAAAAGGCAACGATATGCACGGTTCCATCTTAAATATACAGAGAAGACAAACATATGTTGCGTGACAAAGAAATAATGATGAAAAGTCTTCATCCGTACACATTTCCCAAAAATAAAACCAAACGATTAAATTTCAGAATTCTTTTAAAGAATCTTTTCTTGATAGGACTGAGGCCGTTTTCTGCACTCTTCGCATTTATTAAATCATTTTCAGTGAATAACAGTATTTAATCGAATAAATTCTACCCCTCAGGTTACGGTTTCCTTAAAGAACATTTAAGTGTCTAATCGTGAAATGGGAAATTTATTTTATTTAATTTAGTTTTATATTTTTAAGATTTTCCAATCACCTTGAACTTCTTTAGACAGCGTTTTTTATGAATATCATATTTTAACACATTAATTTATTTTTCGATACTAATTTCTTAAAAAAGAATTCTCATATAACTGAATTTTGAGAAAAATTTCAGCGCCAAGCTATTAAAACCCCCATTGTATCAGTTTGTAAGACATTAACATAAAATGAACAGCAAAAGAAAAAAAAAGAGCAAAACTTGAAATGTTAGCGACTCCTGAGAATAAATTCTTGACAATTTCTTTTAAATCAAATCGGCTCATATTCTTTTCAGTCTTTTTAAACGTTATCCATATCATACACTGGGAAGAAACCGACTTCATATGGATAATAATGAACTGAGTAATACGAAAAAAATAGAAAGGGACGTAAGAAAAGTATGTGTTTCTTTACTGGATTTATATAATGTACAGTGTGGACTGAAAGTCTTGTCGCCACTACATAATATAATTTTCTATCTCAGATGGCTGACACGAAAATAATGGTGGTCACACAGACCTCGATGTGTCGATGCATCAGTAAAAGTGAATAAATTGAATCCATTACCCGTCCTGGGTAAGACGATAAACTACATACAACAGCAAAGCCTCTGATCAGGAGGGTTTGAGGAGTGTGGAACCATCTCTTAATTGCCGGTGATCCCAGGCCTACCCTGGCCTGGCTGGTAGCACCTGTTATGGTCCCAACTATGGGAAAATATTTGACACCAAACTGGGGTCAAAACACTATGAAAGTGTAAAAACATGTTTTAATACCAGCGATATTTTTTTGAGGAAAAATTATTATTAGCAAAACATTTTTGAAAGAAAAATATATTACCATCATTATATTTTTTAAGGAAAATGTATTACTAGCTACAAAATTGTGGAAAAAATATTCCCAACAATAAAAATGTTGTCGGTATTACATAACCGATTGTGGTTGATATACCGTAAATCAAACCAAACCAAACCTTGAATCCAGTACACGTGATTTGTATTACTCTATTATTTGTTCTTCTACTGATCTCAGTACTTTTTGGTAGGAGACGACAATACTTCCGGACTAATGTGTACATTGTGAAGTAATTCTGACAAAAATAGAAAAACCATCGGGATCTATCATTGGTGGGTACGGTCTTAATAGTATGAGATATGCAGATGACAGCGTGTTAATATATTGTTGCCAGCAGGAGAAGGCCGGCACGGTGGGGTAATGGATAGCGGCACAGAGTGAGGAATCGGAGAGCCGAGTTCGAATTCCATTACATTCACTTACGTGCTAAGGGAAAGGTATGAATCCTCTCCTTCTCCATCCAACTATAAGTAAATAGCAGGACAGGCCGAAATGACAAACTAATGCGGAAAAAAATCTGCCTCGTCAGTCATGTATCGAAAGATAAATGATCGCGTAAACGTGTATCGCGCATGGTACATGACTGACTGACCGACAGCGGTAGAAACAGCCCATGATGTGAGTTACAAATTGCAGATGTCAAAACAATGAAAGCAAATAGAAAATTTTTGGCTATCTGGGGGCGTTTCAACAATACTGAAATCCGAAGGCGATTCACTGTAACGAAGGGTAAAAGATAAGTATGAAAAACTTAGTATAGAAAAAAGGAAAGGCTCGTCAGAATCGATTTGATACTCTCAGGGTAGAGAAAATTGCACGTAACATATCTAACGAGCTTGTGTTAACTGGATGGCAGAATATGATTTAAGAGAGATAACAAAAAGGGAATATTTATTAAGGGTTACAAAGGACAGGAAATTGTGGAGAGCCATGCACGTCAACGTCCTGAATAGATACGGCACATAGGAGAAGATTTCAGATCGTAGTCGATTAATGATGTCATGATCTGAAGATGGATTACATTAAGTGTGGATTATCTTAAAAGATTTGTAGATGATAACGTTTTAAATGTTTAATTCCTCATCAAATTTCCTTTGTCGTGTTTGGAAATGGAAATTCAGCTATTTTATATTTCTGCTTCTGAAGGCGCGTTACAAATAACTGACTTCCGAAAATTAAACCAAGTATTAAGGAATATTTCCTTAGAATCAAATAGTGCTGAACTGCTTCTTAGTTACCAATCCTACTATATGACAGTGAATACGGGACAATTTCCACACATATGAAAAGGTGATTAATGATGTGATTATGCAGAAGGATGCTCATAGACGAAAAATATTAGACCTAAATACTTTTCATGGAAATAGGAACAAATAGGACACTTGAATTCAGATCAGAAAATATTTATCATGAGGAAAGAAATACGGTTTGGAGAATTAGGCACACATGTAAGGGAACAGAGTACTTTGTTGCATACCTAACAAACTTGTGTCAGAACAGTAAAGAGTAAAAAATAAATATTGCTAAGAGCTGCAAAGAATAAATTTTTATGGAGACCCATGATCGCCCAAAACTTGAAGACACGCACATAAAAAAATTCTTACTGTACATTCGAAGCACGCTACACAAACTGCGAAGGTTATTATGATGTCAAAATAGCAAGAGATTCGAAGTTATCGGCAGGCATGTAAAAGATGCCGTGTCTGTTTTTACATCACTTACCAAAATATGTCCTGTTTTCCCAGTCGGGCAGAATTTATAGTTTTTAAACATCTGTACAAAGATTGCGAACTCGGGTCCCTAAGGGTAGTTAAGGATTCGCCCTGATAATTAAAACGCGGATATACGCTATCGTCATACATAGACAAACTGATTTAACTAGGAACCAAGATGTCGGCAAATGTTCAGATGAAAGGAGCCGCGAACACACAATTAGCGTGTGTTTGGCATGCCTATGGGTACAGGGGAATGGTTTTAAGACGTGTTATTATATGGTTCATTGGAACTACGTAGCGAAGGTCCTTCGTTATTAAGAAAGCCGAAACCGTGACTTGAAGGGAAGTTGTTTGCTGCTCACGAGGGAAATTTATTATTGTTATTTGTGTTAACGCTACTGTTGAAAGGAAAATTCTGGAAAGAGGTATGTTGTACTGTTTTGATATTCGCTTCAGTATTATTGTGTTTTTTTTTATCATCTGTAGGATTATCCTGCTTGTGTGTATAAGGAAGAGACTCGAAGCGATATAAATGCTGTTCTACAGAGGAATGATGGAAGTACCATGGACAGAATATTTTTTATTATTTTTTTAATCCTTTCGCCCAAAGCAAGGCGAGAATGCAGTGAGTTACAAAGAGTGAAAGTGAGAGAAAAGACTGAAAATAGATAGGATCGAGGAAAGATGAACGGAATTCAAGAAGATAGAAGATGGAGATTGACGTTGTATTTCAATTTTTGAAGATTGCACTTATCAGGGAAGCATAACGGAGTGAGGAGGGTTCTCAGGAGGGACATGCGTTATAATAAACTGTAGGAGTAAAAGAGGCGATGCACTTAACTATTTCAAAAGTAAACGGGTAGGACCTAGGTACCAATCTAGTAGCACGTTTAAATTTATGTTGTTGGGGCACCAGGAATAAAAGCTCATCAGATCAGGTGCCATGAAAATATTTGTAGAAAAGACAGAGGGAATCTACCCCGCGTCGACGAGAAAGTGACTGGAGTCGAAATACCAAGATAGATAGATTACATTACAGATCCTTCTTTGGATTTTATCGAAAACCTCGAGATGCATTTCAGCGACACCAGACGATGAAAAACGAGTTAAAATGGGAACGAAAGCAGATTTGCATACCGTTACATCATGGTGAAACAACGCCTCCCGTAGCATCACTGAAGATAAGCAAAGTCGAGCCTGGTCTGTACTTAAATGGGTGACCGCTTGGGATTACCTGGTGCTGTAAGATCTGATGTGTGGGTAGTGTAATGGGTTATGGTGCGGAATTTTTAATCGGTGATACAAGTTCCAGTTTCCGTTGGGTTCGTTATATTCACTTACGCGTCAATATCCATGGAAAAGGAATGAATTCGCCCTTTCTCCTCCGAGCGATGGTTTAATTAATAAGTATTGTATCACTAAACCTTTATCATGCAAAAAGATATCTTACAATCAGAAAATATTTTGTGACTTAAAATAACCTGCAAAAGGTTGATAAACCGTAGAAAACGAATCACGATGAGACATATGTATAAAATAAAAAGCGACAGATGACATATTTGGGAAACTTTAAGAGCAAAGATGGCTTGGAAAATTTAACACTCACTGGGCATACTGAATGTAGGAAAAATAGAATGTAATCAACGTATTTTAGGACAGATGGCAAAGTGGAGAAAATAAATGTGTTAAAAATGACGACATTGGCTTAGAGCTACAAGGTACATATCGACTTTTGAGTTTCACGAACGTCCACATCCTAGGACACAGGTACACATAAAAGAAGCTTTTGGATCAGTTTTTAATATCTGTCTTCAGTTACACAAAGTTCGAATCTATTACGCTTTCTGATAGGGATAGAATGTATGATGCTAGGAGGAATTGGAATAATCGAATGATAAGTATGAAGAGGAATAGACGGTTTGAAAGAGGAAAGGTAAAGGAATATAGGGAAAAAATGAAAGTAAAACGCGTTCACCCCCACCCCATGCACATACATGTAAACAGTCACTATTACTGCTGATAATGCAAGACTCTCCTAGCGATTAAATTCTCTGAGTGACTGGTGTGTTTATGAACAAATAAATACGCAAAAACTCGCCCTTACTCTGCCGAGCGTCGTTTTAAGTGTTAGAAATCTGATTCTAGCAAAATGGAACAACCTAACTGGTCTATTGGGCACTCTCCTATTAAATGAGGTAAAATTAGCTGGTCTGCTTTTCAAGAGGACACAAGAAGGCAGCCATTTTATTAGGTAACTCACTTGACTTCTACATGATTGATACCAAAACGTTCAGGTTTCGGTCGCGGCCTGAAGTGATCTGATGTCTAGCCACATTGATGAGCAGTGATTCAGCGAAAGAGTCTGTCTGTCGATGAATATATATGTATATGTATATATATATATATATAGAGAGAGAGAGAGAGAGAGAGAGTTTATCAAAAATACTTTACAAAATTAGGGACGGGTTCCTCACACCAAAACAAGTCCATACAAACATATATCCACAAATCCTGCATTTTTGAGTTAAGTTTTCAGTAAGTTTACAGTAGATGCCGCTGTGTTGCCATATAGACTATCTTACATTTGTCATTCGTGTACTTTTGTGGCTATCCTGTCTTCAACATTTAACGTGTGTAGTTGTGAGTTAACTGAGAAGTGTTCCGTTTAGCAATGGCATGCAATATTCATATCGTGAGTAGGGAGACATGAATTTTACGTACGACCGTGCGAAAGGTAATGCGCGCTAGGATGCACGGATGTATCAGATTGCGTTTTCAGACCGAAGGTAGCGAAGACATCTAACCGTTGCTGCTATTTATCTTTGTGTTTCCGAGACAGGATCCGTGGCAATGTTTGTAAAAGTATTCTTGGATTGTCTATCGTCAACGTTCAAATTAATAACTCTAAAACGCAGGATTTGTGGGCATATGTTTATGAGGACTTTTCTCATTGTTTTTTGTGAGAAAGCTACCCCAAAGTTGTAAAATATTTTGATAGTCTCTCTCTCCGCACGCACGCACTATATATATATATATATATATATATATATATATATATATATATATATCTCTATGTCAACCATCGATGTGTCTGCGGTTATCAACTCTGAAAGAGCCTGTTAAACCTGTGATATGAGCGGCCAGTTTGCCTTTAGTTATTTTGAAGGCGTTTGTCAGGGTTTGGATTGCAGGACTTCTTCACGATCTCAAGTGTTTCTGAACTACTTTCGATTTCAGCCACTACTTCTTAACAAATCGTGTAATGAATGTGCTGAATCGTCATTTTTAAAGTCCCATTCACATTAACGTGGGGAGCCTCTAGGCTCTAACTTTGGACTTACTTTGTTTCTCATTAGCATCAACAACCTTCTCAATGTAATTAGTTCCAATTTCGTATTAGTGCTGCTGACACAGCTATTATTCATTTCCTAATATTAAGTCCGACAGTTAACATAAAGTAAATTTGGCAAATGATCTCGAAATTGACCTTCTATAAAAAAACTATTTTGACGAGCTACATTCCTTAGTTCTACCAGTTCTAAGCTTTACAGCAAAAACCTACCTTAATAGTGCCGGTGTCATTCTTATGATATGTTGTAACAATATAGGTTTAATAAGGTAGCGATGAAGAAGTGACGGGATCCCAGCCGTGGTCCTAAAGAAATGTGCTCCTGAGCTGGCTCCCTTTTCCTCCAAACGATACAACTAACGCCTCGCTGCTTCCCGCTTCCCGTTGGAAGATCTTCTCTGTTGTTCCTGTTTTTAAGAACACTGCAGAACCATCTGACCTCTAACTATCGCCCTATTAGTCTCCCACCGCATTTCGGCGAAGTATTCGAGGCTTTAATCAACGCTGAAGTGGTTAAGCATCTTACATCTCACGATCTACTCTCCGACAAACAAGCAATGGGTTCCGTTTTACCAGGCCTACCACTAACGTGCTAACTGCCTTCACTGTATATGCATAAACCATTGATAATATCGGTGAAGCTCGATCTATGGCTCTAGATAGTTCAAAGGCTTTTGACAAGTTTTGGCATGTGGTCATCTACGTAAGTTCCAGGGCTACGGTATTACAGGACGAATAATTGATTTAACCCAATCGTTTCTATCCAATCCTGAAATGAAGTTCGTTTTCAACGGGCTTGCTTCTGGATCCTACCCTGTTTCTGATCTTCATTAATGATCTTTCTGATGTCATCAGTTCCCAAGTAGGCATTTATGTTGATGTCTCCTCCTGTCTTTAATAGCAAATCCGTCAATGCTGACAAAGTTATGCTGGCAGCTGCTCTTGAAAAGGAAGTACAATCAGTGGGTAATTAGGACAAGAAATGGCTCGTAAATTTTAATGCATCCAAAAGGAAACTGCTTTAATTTAGTCACTATAAAGAATCTTTCATGCCTGCCATCAGTATGGCCGATGCTAGACGCATGGAGAGCAACAGAGTGAGCTTTCTTGGCCTCCAATTTTAAACTGAATTGAAGAGAAACGACATCAAATCAATAGCTGCACCTACTGCAAGGAAAGTTGGTTCACTGTGTCGTGTCAGAAGGTTTTTCTCGTCAGTGGATAACATGCACATTTACAAATCTATCATTCCTCTGTGCATTGAATACTGTTGCCATATCTAGTCAGATGCTCATCGCGAGGTTCTTGACAAAAGCCACTGCACATACAACAACCTCTGTCAGTAACGCTCTAATTTGAGTGGCTCTTGTGCCTTTTATATGGTGAACATTAGTAAAAATTAAGAAGAAATATTTGAATTTATTTTAGCATCATCATCAAATGGTATCGCCTATAATACAAAACCAACATAATTTCAAACTTTCTCTTGTGTTCAAAGTTGTTTTGATATTTTTTTTTTAAGCGTTTTACCCCAAGCAAGGCGGGAGCCCACGAGGACGCAAGGGGTTACAGAAAATTTGGAGCAAGATCAGATAGGAGTGATAGAAGAAAGGATGGGGAGAAGGGTAGTGGATAGATCAAAGCAACTGGAGATGTCGATTGACATTACATTTGAATAGTTGGAGATTATAGCTCTCAGAGAAACTGGAATAGGGAAGGGAGTTCCACAGGCGAGAGGTACGAGGTATGAAGCTATTGGAGTAGAAGAGACGGCTACATTTAGGAGTTTCGACAGTGAAAGGGTGAGAGCGGGATACCAGCCTCGTAGGCCGCTTGAATTCATGAAGTCTGGGAAGCAGCGAATGCAGCTCCTCGGAGCAATTGCCATAAAAGTATTTGTAAAACAGACAGAGAGGCGACGGCGCATCTGTGAGAAAGTGACTGTAGACGGGATGTCAGATTGACTAGTTCCATAATAAAAAAAAAAAAAAAACTTCTAATTAAGCCAACAGATCCATACAAGATCACTCTATACCAACTCGCCCAATAACCTCATTCCGTTACGCTCTAATTTGAGTGGCTCTTCTGCCTTTTTACATTAGTAAAAATCAAGAAGAAATATCTGTATTTACCTTGGCAGCATCATCAAATGGTATCGCCTATAATACTAGACCAATCATAATTCCGAACTTCCTCTTGTTTTCTAAGTTGTTTTGTTTGACTGGTTCCATACAAAGACAACCTCTAATTTAGCCAATAGATCCATCCAAGAATTCGCTATATCAATTAATCAGAATTACTGTTGCCATTTTCTACTTCACCCAATTTAGACGTTTTTCACCATGCGATATAAGCTAGCTGTTTGGTCGCTTTTTGGACATTCCCCAATGTTCTTAATATACTGTACTATTTCTTTCTGCATTCGAAATCGTAGCTTTTTCAAATATCTTGCTGCTCGGCAATCATCTTTCCTTGCTTATTAATTTCTTCTGTTTTTTATCCCTTTTTTTTTTTGCGACATTCCCAAAGCTAGATTTTTCCTGTTTTCTTTTGCCAACATCTTCAATTTCTATATTTGTATAGTTCTTTGATTAATGTTCAACTTCATTCTAATTTCTAATATGTTTTTTTTCCATCACTCAATACACTTACATTTTGGAGTTTCTTTTTTTGAGTTTGCAATGTTCTAACGGCCAATAGCAATTTTGAGGATGCTTGAAATTAAAAGAAAATCAATATATGTAACCATAATTTATATATTTATTTACAATATGATAAAAAAGCACTGGAATTGCTTAAAAACTCAAATCACCAAATAACTTTCCAACAAAAAAAGGTTACTTCAATTCACATAGAATATTTGTCAAGCACATATGGGTATAGCCTAAATATCATAT